TTCCTTTAACTTATTGATATAAACATCCTTAAACTATACTTCTCAAAACTGTAATGAAAATAACTTCTCTTTTCACACAAGAGCCATATGTATATTGTAGTTTTACTTATTTGCTTCGCCTTTATAAAACGTGTTTCCTGAAAATGCATAATTTATTTCCAAAGGACCAAGTATACATATAAAACAAAATTTCATTCTGATGCCCCCAGCTTTAAATTTGTTCTTTCTGTTCTCACATAAAAGGCAGGACTATTTTTATAAAGACAGACAAACTCTGTTTCCATTTTAATTTTGTACATTATATTTGAAAAATAGAATATCCCCTAGTATTTTAAGAATTTATCCAGATTCTGCTTTATCTTATGTTTCAAGTCTGTGAAGCATATTCTAAAGTAATAATCATAACACTTAAACTCAACTTACTCACATAACATTTCTGTTGAAGTGGGCATTAGGAATCATATGTACTGCAACATTCCTGACATGTAGATGCAAGTAATACTTTAAAACAAAACTCCTAGTTTTTCTTCCGTTCCTTTCCTTGAGAAGTTATGAATATATCTTGCCTCTTCTCACAAATGAAAATGTGTTTGAGTGCAATTAATCTACCCTATTAGTTCTACTAAACATCTGCTATATTTGTTAAACACTTCAAAATTCTATTCTGAACCAGTTAATTCTAAGTAATTTCTCAGTTAAATATTTACATGGGCTTCCATGATGATAAGCCCTAGTTTGTCTTAAATAATCAGCAGATTGTCCAGAGGGAGTTAAGTGAAATGCAACACATTACAATAGCTATCCATTGGAAATTAAAAGGGTTTGGCTAGACTATTTTTTTTTTCATATTTTTATCCTAGACAAAAGAAGTAACAGCTTTATGCAGTCTAGTCTTTAACATTTTTAATATCCAGAATTCCACTGGGGGGAAAAAAATCAATGAATGCCTTTATAGAAATATGCAGATGCTGGGCTGGGGTTGTAGCTCAGTGGTTGAGTGCTCGCCTCATATGTCTGAGGCACTGGGTTCAATCCTCACTACCACATTCAAAAAGAAACAAATAAAACAAAGATAGTATGTCCATCTACAAATAGAAAAATTAAACAACAACAACAAAAAAGAAATATGGAGATGCTTACATCATGGAAATACTAAATATGCTCTCAAACGTCTCTCTCATAAAGGTGACAGATTGCATGTTTGTAAAATTTTAGAAATAGCCCAATTTATAGTAATTTTTAGAGTACACTAGATAGATGAAAAACATAGAAAAATGGATTAGGTATTCTTCGGACACAGTAAGTGGAAGAGAAAATGCACAGATTATACAAATGTGCTATATTACAAGATATTTAAGAATATGACTCTCTGGAAAAATTCTATAAATCTATAAAATTTTAGGTAATGGTCAAAGATCTCAATAAGTTTCATAAGAGAGAGGAAGTTATAGTTGATAAATGATTCATTCTTAAATAAACAAAAGGCAATCCTAGATATCAGAGAAAGGAATAGTTAGAATGAGGATGACAGATAAGACTTGTTATTGAAGTCCAGGTTATGAGAATAAGAATAATTATATAGAGAGCAGAGCCCTATTCCCTAGCACCTATACCCAGTATTATTGCTCTCTCTAGTCCAATGTTTTTTTTTTTTTCCTCTATGGCTGAATCTACTCAATGTTTATTGAGCCTCTTCTATAAATGAGGTAGATGATAGAATGAAAAAGAGCTTCTGTCCTTGAGAACTTATGGGCAACTAAAAAGATGAGTAGAGCACACACACAATGACATTTATAAAGCCAAGGTAGGAAAAAAAGAGCAATTCTTCTAAGCCCTTCCCATTTATCCTAAGCTACAGCTTACCTGGAGCTTACGTTATTTCTGTAGTTTTCATAGTGATAATAAAATAGAAAAATTAATGAGTTATCCCCAAATTATAATTTCTTAGTCTGGGAAAAATATTATTTTGGTATAGATGATTAAACTTTTAGTAATGTTAATACAAAAATCATTTTTCTTTGTAAATATAAACTGATGTTTAATAAAGACCGTTGGATAATATTATCAACATCATGGTAACATAGCTAGATTTAAAAACACATCATGGAAACAATGTATCATGGATACATTGTTTAAATAGTAAATGATATGTTAGAGATTAAAAAGAACTTAACTGATTTTTCATCATACTGCTGGCTGGGTCATTGACCTAGCAAAGGTGAAGGGAGATTCAGAGTTGTGAACCTTCAGGAGTCAGGCTAGTGATTTGTGGATGTGATTTGGTACCATATTTTACTCCTTAGACTTTGCACACAGAAATATAGGAGAATAAATATTTTAATCTGTTGAATACATTCCAAATAAAATTTGATATTCTCGTATTGTATAGACTTTTGCTATATAATTATCCCAACTACTAAAGGGAATAGATTTCAATTATATTTCTCAGAATTAAGTATATTCCCTTGATGACATTTGCTGTGTGGATGCTTTAGTAACTCATGTTTAAAAACACTGAAAGAGCTGTCAGCATTTGGATGAACATCAAAGATGTTATATATTAGTTTGGATATTCACGAAATGATAATAGTTTTCCCAAGGGTAAGAAGGAAGAGTTTAATCTAGAGCCAAGATTGTGTCAGTCTTATAAAAACTGACACAACTCTTTGTAATTATATTGTAATTAATATTGGTGAATTAAGATTTTAACATTGGTTCTTCTTAGAAACATTAGAAATTTTCCATCCTAAGTTGGCCTAATCAGCCAACTCTCCTTGGATACATATCTTTCAGCAGGTGATTTTTTTTTTAACTGCAGACAAAACTGATTACCTTTTCATCTCTTGGTTTTTATTACTGCCTAAGTCAATCAAATAAAGGCTTCATGTGCTTCTGGAACCCTAAATTGTTTCAAAAACAGATAAAAGAAGTGGAAGTGATAAATACTTTAATTTCATTCATCTACAGTAGAGAAAGGTCAGAAAGATTTGGGGGAACATTGAGAATTGGTGATGAGTAATTTTTTGTACTAATGCTTTTTGAACATTAGTTATAATAATTTATATTGAATTCTGATGATTTTAATCAAATGATAGCTCTATAAATGAAAAAATTTTAAACTATCACTTTTTCTATTTAAAATAGAATTAGATGATAAAATTATGCATGTATGACATTTAGTTTTTATGAAATAATTAAAAAATGAATAGGTACATAATAAATAGTTATAGGTCACCCAAATATATCCAGTGTTTTAGTTTAAACATAGTCATGACTTTAAAAGTAAATCTTAGGGGACTGGAAGTGTAACTCATTGGTAGAGCTAGTGCTTTTAATGTGTAAGGCCCTGATTTCAACCCCAAGGATACGAAAAGAAACAATTGTTTATTTTTTAAAATAGGTAACAAGAGAATGCTTTTTCTGGAATTAGCGTGAATCCAGTTTCTTTGAATAAGTACCATAATAGGTTTCATTATAAGTATTTTGAGATTCTTTGAGGTCTTCAACCAAAAACTTCTATTAGCGTGCACTGATTTCCCAGTATGGATTGTTTTCATTCAACCATTAATAAGCTCATACCATTATGTATAAAGACACAGTTTCTACCTATTGTGGCTTAGATCTGGTGAGAGAAAAAAATCGTTACATGAACAATCATTTAAATGAATTTGTGATAGACACTTTAAGACAAGTACAAGACACTCTAAGACTGGAATAGGCAACTCATGTGGAGACTCAGGGAAGGTGAAGCATTATTTCCTTACCACCAGTTTGGCTGTAATGTAGAGATTATTAGAAAGTTCTTCAGATAAGCAAAAGTGACGAGGAAACAGTAGGAATGGAGAGAAATGGATCCAAGTATACTTTGGAGATAAAAATCAACCAGACTTGGTAACTAGATGTCAGGGGAAGTTTGAGAGAGAAGAGCATAGACTATGAGTTCTAAATATCTAGGAGGAAAGAGCTAGGAGGGTATCATATGGATTTATTGAGGCTGGGAATGCTGGAATTACAGTTCAGCTTTGGAGGGAGGGTCCTGAGTTCAGAGTTCAATGTGCTAAATTTCAGATGCCTGTGAGATAGCCAAGTGGATATGTCAAGCAGGCAACTGCACTTTGGATTTATATGTAGCCCAGAGACAAACTGAGGCTATAAATGTAAGAATAATGATTCCTGATCTACAGAATCTGAAGCCCACAAGCATATGAGATCATGGAGAGAGCATGTGAACTGAGAGGAAAATGAGCCTAAAATCACCCAGATGTAAATTACACTTGCAGGTCAACAAAAGGAGGAAGCAGCAGAAAAGACTCCAGAAGCATTAATAACTTTTGGAGATTTAAAAAACTGCAATATCATTTTGAGTTTCAGATTGAATAGGGATTCCTGTATAATGTAAATATCTAAAAATCAAGAGATTAGACTTCCAACACGTTGGATTTCCTGGGACTTTTTTATGATCTAGAAAAAGATAATTTTTTCTATTACTTGACAATATTATGAGAAAGCATTAAATGTCTATGATACTAAAAGTTAAATATTATAAATAGACATGTTTGAATCAAATGTCATAGTCATGTGTTTTCTTAAAAGATACAAAGCTATTCTCTACCACCAAAAATGTTTTATTTATGAAGTTTAAATATATAAAGAGGTAATTTTTTCTTCCAGCTTGCAGATACTGTTACCTTGTATTTATGGTTGTTTGGTGAAATGTAGTTCCAATTGTATGGGATGTTTTAACTGGGAGTGAGTGTTCCATCTCAGACCTGGTTTGGAACTTCCTTTTATTCTTTTCTGGAGTTAGCTACAAAGATAAACCAGCCAGTGAGAGGCAATTCATCATTATTAATACATTGCATAATTTAACCTTAGAAGAGCTCAAATCACTTAAAAATTTCTTTGTTTGGATGAATGAAATGTGTATTAATTTTCACAACATTCTTTGTGAGACAGGTGTGCTCAAATCTGTATCAACATGTGTCTTCTTTCCCTTACAGGGTTCCATAGGGATGCAAGGCCCCCAAGGTCCACCTGGAAAAGAAGGTCAAAGGGTAAGTACACTTGGAACAGCTGGTAGGCATTGCTAGCTCAGGGGATAGTTATTTCTGCATACTAAAAGAAATACAAAATATAGCAAGCAGATGGTCATATAGAGAGTATCAACTACCCAGAGGCTGAAATTTAAGATTAGAGATTTTGACAGAGGTTTTACTTCAGGAAAAGTAAAGCACCACATGTAAAAAGGTTATTATTTGGTTAAAATGAAGTAGGCATAATTTGATCTAGAGCACTTAGGTCATAATTTCTGTTAAGTTAATCAATGTCATAGTGGAAGTCCAGCCCATTCATGAATTCTATAAAAACTGTGGCTATTAACCACATTGGTTAGCCAAATTTAATTATTGATACTAGTAACTCTTTGTTGCTTTCCTTTCATCATTTCACTTATGCCTTCAACTGAAGTAAAAGAGTACATGAATACATTGTAAGTGCAATTGGAAGTATACCAATGACTTTCTATCTAGTCCATTCTCGTCATTCACCAGCAAAAGGTAGCTCTGCTGTGTTGCTGCAGCTGGCTTTCTTGTGGCTTACTATTGTTACTACCATTTTCAAATCAGTTTGAAATTTCAAAACATTTGTATAGGTTTTCTCATTTGACTACTTATGAAAAGTCTGTGCAAAATAGAAATTGTACTATTCTAAGGTTAAGGACTTCTGTAACCTTAGAGATGAGGATTCTGTGACTTAGGGGTTTAGATGACTTGTTTAAACTTGGACTTCTAATTCTGAATCCTATGTTTTCTTTTAGTGTCCCAGAATATTAACCCCAAATCCATTCTTAAGTCATTCTCATTTATTATTCCCTTTTCTGTCCTGTTGTAAAAAGTCTGTTTCCTCAAGTACTTCAGAGTCCTTCAAATATTTGAGGGCTAATAACTATATTTTATTAAGGTTTACCATTTTTTAAGCTAATAAAATCCCAATTCTCTTAACTCTTTCTTTTGCCATGAGGCTTCCTGACTATCTTACAGTCTGACACTGTTTCCCAGAAATCACTCACTAGCTGGAAGGTGTCAGAATGGGACTGGACACGTGGCTTCATTTAGAGCAGAAAACTGTGGCAAGCAGGCCCTGAACCAGAAGCAGAGTACTATTTTCTATTCCAATCTAAGATTGAGCCAGGGCTTCTTTTCCTGGCTTCGCACCATTGATTGGTACTTCATGTGGTCAAATAAATGTCCCCCTCTTTTGCTTTAATGAAAACTTCTGGCATCAGATCTTCCTTCTTTCTGTTATATTGTATAGTTGCTTTTTGAATTACATAGTAGGAACTGATCCTCCATGTTTTTATATTTCATCTTCTGGATTTGGGTCCCTAATACCATTTTATTGCTTGGGAGTTATTTTATAGTAATATTGTTGTTGTTTAAAAATTTACATCCTATTTTTCATTGAAATAGCTCCCAGCTCTCTGGGTTCATCTTATGTCTTCATTTACATCATTAATAAATTCTTACCAGAACAGGCATGACAACCCTGTGTAGAATCAGTGTAGCCTCCTCTCTTTTCTACCATTGATATTCTTGTGACACGATAATCAAATCATGTACGATGCACTTGAACTCTACCTCTTCCCCACCCACATTTCTTAATTTGGTTTGTAAGATAATTATGAGAGACATGTCAGATACTCGTTGAAATGAAAATATATTCAAATGAGGCTTTTTAAAAATAATATGCTTCAAATTGAAATTGTACCCTATCAATGCTTGCATTTCAGAAGATAGGTTAAAGAATAAATTAAGCTTATGTATTTTTCATGATAATTATGGAGGCAATTATTTGAATTGTAAAGTTCACTCACTATTTGATGCAAATTTACTTCATTTATAAATATGTATAATCCGGAAAAAATTATATTACTTTTCTATCAAGAGTATCAGTGCCAAAAACTAAAGAATATCATAGAATTTTATGGTCACTGTTAGGCATAATTTGTCATTATTGCTACTGCTCTCACTCAAATGCTATGTTTATCAAAGGATGTAGCTAGAACAGGTATTATTGACATACATTATACACATTTACAAATCATTTCCAACTATGCTTAGTGATTTGTTCTACTTTATAAGCTACTTGAATGAGACTCAAATTACTTTAAGAAATGAGTATTCTTACATATGTGGTCACCTAAACATAATGGTGACACCAAAGGCTTTCGCCATTTCTTCTCTATTCCAGAGGTAAATGACATTCAGCTTTTAGGCACATACATATATTCATATGTGTATGAGTGGATGTGTGTATCTATACACATTCATATCTTTTGAGAGAAACTACTAATAATGTTTCCCTTTCGTTGCAGTTTTCAATAGGATACAATAATTAGAAAAAATGTCTATGAATTTAAAACAAAATTTTTATTGAACCACTGTCAGTAAGACTCTTATATTTTGGTTCCAAGTGTTTGAACAGAAATTTTCTATCATTAAGGTTATTTCAATGAAGTATAAAGTTTGTGGCAAGTCCTGTGTACTTTACTTGTAGATATAATGTCTTTAAGGATAACATTTAATTTTAGACAAATTATTAACATCTTGGTTTTCCTTAGTGAGTAAGCTACTGCTCTATACTTTGAAAAATAACCAACATTATAGAAACATGTTAATATTACTAACATTATTTTTATTAAGACATAAGGAATCTGAACAAATGATTTTTTCTCTTTAATTCTTTGTGTGAATTTTTTTGTGAGCACAATAGGAATACAATACTTTGCAAGTACAACATCAGAATTCTGTTTGCAGTTTTTAGTTGATTATATCTTTTTTTGTCTTTTAAGCCACCAAATCTTCATTTGTAAACTATTAATTTTAATAAAATGTAATAGTAATGCTCTTCTAACAGTGTTTTGTGACAATATATATCTGGGATTTATACACTTCTTAACCAATTTCTTTTTTGAATATTTTATATGACGTTGATTTTTTTTCTTTTTCCTTTATTGACTCTTTGTAGTTCTGCAAGTGAAACATTTAGATGGCACATTTTGAAGTCTTACACACTATATAGATCAACACAACTTTTAGAATTCAACTAACATTAAATGTTGACCTCATACTACAGCTGAGAGTGTGTTGGAGAATAGCATGGGGTTCTACCCACTAGAATCCTAGAGGGTGTACAGCCCATGAGGACAGAAGAGGGCTAGGAGGGAACTAGGACATGTCAAGGGTAAGAAATTAAAAGGAGAGAGTTTGAAGATTTGTGGAGGGTTTAGCAGTTCTAAAATTTGGAACTAAGTCAGCAGAGAGATGTTGGATAAGAGAAGTGGTTGAAATTGGTACCTTTGAGAGGGAACCCTTTATGAATAATTGAGAAGGTATTGGAAAGGAAAATTGGAAAAACAGTTATAATGAAGTTAGAGGGTCAGTTGTGAGGAGGAAGAGGCAGCAATGCCTAATCTGGTGAAGGGTTAAGGACAGGAACTGGATGGAAACCTAGAGAAGTATCTTACTAAAAAGTGGAATATTTCAGGTAGCTGAGCATGTTCATGGATGTGAATGTGAAACTTCTCAAAAGTACTGGCATTGGTAAAAATTTAGAGATGTAGATTCTTTTAGGATTTTTTAATATTCCTAATAGAATCTCCCCAAATAAAAAGAAAATTTAAAATATTTAATATAACCTTGGGTTTTTCCTTTATAGTCACATTAAAAGCATGTCTGAATAATTTCAAAATTAAGTCTAGAACTTACCTTGGTAATTTTAGAAGACATCAGTCTAGGGGCCCTGGGAAAACAATTTATCAATGAATTAGCTAGTTTCTGTCATGCACAAAAATTTGTGTGGCTCCACCAGATGACACTTACTCTTATATTATTATCTAATTGTAATCCTGAACAGAAATTTATTTTAAATCTCCCTTAACTTATCATTTGTCCCCCTCACTCCTGATCGCAAATTTTCCTCTTTGCTTGGTCCTATCCTTTTCCTCCTTTAGGCAACATTCCTTTGACTGCCTCCTTCCAACATTTTGGGGCTGATTTCACAGTCTCTTGAAGTGCTTGCTGCAAGCTGCCTCTGGGGTAAAGATCCCTTGCCTTCTAAACAGCACAGAGAACATGAGCCTATCCATCAGGAGGTATCCCTTTGCACTAACCAGACTTGGTGGCAAAATAACTGGGTCCGTTTCCTAGATGAGGTGGGATCCTGCAGAGGTATTAGCAGGACAGGGCCAGCAGCATGTCTCCAACACAAGCAGCATGAGGCTCTCCACGGAGGTCTCTGAACAGGCTCTGGGCCAGACCTGCCAGAATTTCAATCCCAGCTTGGCCACTCATTAGTGGTGTGATCTTGGATAAGTTCTGCAGCCTCTCTATGCCTGTTTCCCAATTTAGAAAATGGAAATAATAAAAATAATACCCAATAGGGCTGTTAGAAGGAGTATGCCAAGGCATGAAGTATATCATTACTTTCATACCAGCTGAGTGACCCACAGATGTTTGTTGAAGGGAAAACAAACATATAGCATCGTTATACAGGACTTGATTAAAGAAAGTGTATAATAAATAAATCAAGAGAATTTGTTGAAGTCACTGTTTTCACTACTGCTTCACTATACCCATGTTATTTGACTTTTACCTGAATTCTTACTTTCTCTGGATGTCCATGCTATATTTTAATTCCCTAGAAACATCATGAGGCCCAGAGTTTATCCATTATGATATTAAAATTAAGCATATATAAAAGCTTACAAATATAGAGTAGATGATTTCCTTTCCCTTAAAGAAGAGATGAAGATTGATGTCCTCATTGTGGAGTAGCCAAGGGCTCAATTTGTTTTATAAATAAATTGTGTTGATCATGTATGAATTTACCAGGAGTTTCATAAACAACACCTTGTTTTCATCTATTAGTTTGTTTTTGAATTTGTTTATATGCTTTACCTAAGATAAAACAGTGACATAAATTATGTTTTAAAAATTATTGGGTTTATTGATCCCTATAGAAAAAAAGTACATAAAAGTCATTGCTCTGATGAAGT